TCCCTCAAAAATCACGGGGGGAAATTGTACCTGTTGAATTTCAGTTGCCAGGTTTTTATTGTTTTCATTGCTTAAGTGAAGAGCAGCGCAGTAGAGGTGTAGCTTCGTGGGTTAGAACCTCTTATGGGGCCCAGAAAGTTAAGTTATCTGCAGAGCATGGGACGCCTGTCGGAGACCACCACTGCCGTGCTTCGAATGGACTATCATGATCCCTTCCCTGAAGAACGTAGCCTACAACACATCTTGACTGTAACGTTATCAGCCGCACGCCACCAGACAGATCACATCCATTGAATTAGATCAATCAGGCCACAGGAAAATAAGCCTGGCGTCGTATGGCCCAGCGTCGTCTGCCAACACGCGAAAAAATTTTACACCACCCGGACGGAGCGCGCCGGAGCCGTCCGTATCTGTCCCGTGTGTCGAATCAGCCCACGGTCGAACGGCCACGCGTCGTACGACGATAAATTTTGGAACAGAACTATGCTATCTGGAACCTAACCCCAGATGCTGTGAGCCAAAAGTTACGTAATTAAGTGAAGCTGTAGATGCCGCTCGTCGAAAGACGATAGATTTTGGAACAGAACTATGTGATTAAATAGGGATTTTATAAATATTTTATAATAAGAGAGAATCGTTTCCTATCGTCTCATATCTTTTAAAGTTGGGTGAATCGGAGTGATCTACTCCACCAAATTTACGTTACGTTCAGGTTCAAGATACCGGTATTCATTACTTATCGTTTTGTCAGGTAGTCTGCCGAGTGGCATTTGATTTGGCACGTGAATAAGGTTCTCTTTTTGGAAGCGTTACGGCAAAGAAAATACAAAGAGAGGGTTGTAATGNAATATTCGCCGCATTCACCGTTTCACGGAGTTTATCATAGTCGCCTTTCGTAAAGTTCAAACGTTCACGCTTCCGAAGCGTCTTTTCCGCACAACACTTAATATTGAAAAACATTTATTGGTGGTGGCTTCTGCCCAACGGAGCCTCGTCGCGAAGCTCATCTATCATTTATTCTTCACTAGTAAACACAAGATCTAGAATATTTGGGGTCTGTTTACCCTTAAAATGGGTTGGCTTGGTGATGTTCTGGATTAAAAATGAGTCTCGCACGGACTCCAAGAACAAGGATGCTGGGTGATTCCCATCTCTTGGAGAAGATTCATCTGCCCAGTCTATTCCTGGATGGTTAAAGTCACCAACAATCAACGTATGCGACCTGCTGAATGACATGCTCGGTAAAAGGCTGTTTAGTACTTTATTGTTATCAGAGGAGCTGTTAGGTGATCTGTAAATGACCCCTACGAGAAGGCTATCTCTGCCTTTTAAAGTAAGTTCGCACCACACTGATTCTCTAGCTGATTGATGATCTGCAGATAACCTAACTTGCTGGGCCCCATAAGAGGTTCTAACCCACAGAGCTACACCTCTACTGCACTGCTCTTCATTTAAGTTATGAAAACAATCAAAACCTGGCAGCTGAAATTCAACAGGTACAATTTTCCCCCCGTCATTTTTAGGGAGTGTTTCTGTAATACAAATAATGTCCATACACTCGTTTGCGATCACAGTTAACAGTTCACTTTTCTTGTTCAAAACGGAATCCGAGTTCGTGTAAAAACATTTTAAAACATTTTGTGTTTTTTCACTTTGATGTATGCGGTTACTCCCTACATTATTTACAGGCCTTGATCTACGGACATCATTCCTACTAATTACTTGTCCTCCATCTCCTCTGACTGTCCGTGAGCAGCCGGTGTTTTCTTGGCAGCTTGGAAGTGATTGACCTGATTTTCCATGCCTTTCCGCCTGATTCTCTGATTCTCTCCGCCTTCAGAATCCTTTACAGTCACCAGCAGAGGTCTGAAGGTGTTGGCAGCGGCATCCTTCGAGCGTAGCCTATTGCAAGATATAACATCAATCGATGTGTTGAGTACCCTGCTGCAAAAATCTACAACAAATGCCGTGTCATCCATCATTCGATCCTTCGCATCAGATGCTTTACTTTCAGGAATCCCAAACCAGACCAGGTTGGCCTTCCTACGTTCTCTATCAAGCAATTCACGCGAGCTTTCACTAGCGACTTCAGATAAATCAGCTGTCTTGTTCTTTACTTCCATTTTTTCCGTATTTTTTAACTGAGCCTTCACTTCAGTCAGCTCATTGCATAGCGAGCTCAGTTTGTCACTCAGCGAGCGCACCAACTCACTCAAGGAGTTTACTGCATCGTTCAACAATTTCGATTCATTGCCGTGCTCTTCCACCGATTCCTCTCTTTTTCTAGCACCAAGAGTTGTTTTTCGCAAATCGCGGCAAAACCAATGAAGCAATTTAGATTTCTGGAGAAATGTGTACTCCTTAGAGCTCAACTTCGAACAGCTGATACAAATGAGATCTTCGCATCGTTCACAGGTGACCGTCTGGACTTCGCTCAGAGAGATCTCTTTGCAGTACTTGCAAACTTTCATCTCTAAATGGGCTGATTTGGTATTCTTTTTTATTCTAGAGGCCGTAGATGGCTTTTCTCAAGAGGCTGTAGAGGCCTTTCGACTATCTTTTTTATTTTCTGTCCAGCCATTATTAAATGCACGAACTAGATCTCTTGAACGGAGAAAAATGCAGAAAAGGACGGAGAAACACACAAAACTGAGTTGAGTTGAGTATAGTAAAGTTCCCTCGAAAATTCCGGCTGGAGGAACAGCTGAGCTGCAGCTGGCGAGGGAAAGACAGGGGTGTCTGGGGGAATCAAGGTATCGACGCGTGAAGCGGGTGGAGAGGAGGAGGTGTAGGGGCCAAGAGGGTGGGGAGGATATAGGAAGGCGAGCCTTGAGCGTACTCAAGGCACCGATTGTTCTCCGGTTACAGGCGGTCGCCGAGGGTTCCCAACAAGCTACCAAACTTGCCCTCGTTTCATGCACTGGCATTTGTCGGGAATAAAACACTTGTACTAGCCGTTTTTCTCACTATTCGCACAATTTTGACTGAACTGCACTAAAATTTAACCTTTCACTGAAATCGTTTCGGGACAAAATTCGAGAGATAAGCTTCGATTCGAGATTCGAGAGGCTTAGTAAAAAGTGAGAAAGTTGGGACCCGCAAACACGTACGTGCGTCCTTGATCACTGCCAGAACTCAACTCAGTTGTAGAAAAAATGGTCCGGTGACCCACAAGAAAACACAAATTGATTTTTGTTTGCAGTTAAATTCTACATGAATCAATTCTTCCACAATAAGCACATGTTGAATTCCTATTAATAGGTTGCTGAGGTGGTCTAATAAAGTTGCTTCGGCCTCTCATCCGTTTGTCAGGCTTTGCGCTTTTCCATCGCACTGAATTACTTTGCTTGTTGGACAGTCCGACATGTATAATGATGTTCTCCTTATTGGTCGCTTTCACTTCTTCATTTCTCTCCACATCACACGAACTAGCAAATTTCTTCAAATCGTCCCACTTTATATTCTGAAATCTGCATCTTCCTACTCATTACTTGGTTCCTAACTATTCCTTTAGCATTTGAGCGTAACAAAGATATGAACTTCTCTCGAAGTGTTTTGCTCATCTGGATGTCTTTCTTAGGAAAGGCCACGCTGAATAGCTTTCTTTAATCTGGTTGCCAGTTAATAGAAACTTTCACCACTGATGTACTTAGCTTTGACAAAGTTGCTCCTAGTTTTGTTTCTTTTTGCGAGCTTCTCGTTGTCGTACTATTTCATCAATTTGCTGGTTTAACTGCCGTACGTGTCGTCATCAAACCTAAACGATTTGACTGCTCGTAGCGTCTCTCCGTGTAATTCGGCTTCCAAATCTCCGATCCAAAACTATGTCACAACAATGGCCCGTATGCTAAATAGGGCACTAGCACTACGAAGTAGCACTATGCACTACGAAGTGTCCTGTTGGTATGCTAAATACGTCACAGGCACTAAGCACTTCGAAGTAGCTCTACAATGTTTAGTGTCGCACTACTGATTCGTATGCAGAAAGACTTTGAAGTGCTACTTCGCTGTTAGAGTACTTTATAGTGCCGCACTACGCTATCAGTCTATTGAAGAATGGTAGTTAAGTGCTCAAATAATTAATTATTTCTGAAGTAATTCTCATTCTTTGCAGAACATTGATGTAAAATGTCTAATTGTGATGGTAATGGTGCTAGTGAAAATTGTGATGGTGAGCTGAAATTCGCAATGCGTCTGAGCACCTTTCCCATCATATATTCAAAGTCCATGCACGCTTCCCAAAGACACCGAACAAAAGAGAGAAGCATGGAAAGTTCTTGCAGAATAATTCAAAATGACTCTAGAAAAAAAAAAAAAATTCAAAACATGGTATCAAAAACAAGAAAAGTATTTTCTACTTCTACGCTGTTCATCTGTTTCGCCAAGGAAAATGTCAGCCATAAGAATAATATGTTGTTCACTGAAGCGGTACACTTTTTTATATTCATCGCATGTAGTTCCTGAGGTTTTTACGCGATGATGCCTTTGCTGTAAGCCCAACAGATCCATAGCTGACGAAGTAAACAAGGTTAAATATACCGTAGTGTCGTCGTGAAGTGCGGTGTATTGGACACTTCAGATTTTTGTAGTGCGCGTTATGATTTTGGCCCTATTTAGCATACCAACCGTTAGTGTTCCATGCCGCACTATGACTTGTAGTGCGTAGTGCTACTTCATAGTGCTAGTGCCCTATTTAGCATGCCAACCGTAGGTTCCATGTCGCACTAGTACGGCACTACGGCTTGTAGTGCGTAGTGCTACTTCGTAGTGCTAGTACCCTATTTAGCATACGGGCCTATGTCATTCTAAGATACTCTTTCAAACTCGTGCATGAATCTTCGACTAAGTTAGAAAAGGCTGACGTCTTTCTCATATCAAGTTTACTTCCTGCTTCGATCAACTGCATATGACAGTGTCTTTTCGTCTGCGTTGATTTATCTTCAGTGGGGGGTTGCTAATTCTCTTGCTTGGTGCGTCATCTTCGCTGCTTGTAACTTAACTTAGCGTGTCCGTTGCGTTGCTGGTTGAGTCAATGTCAGAGTTTCGTGAGCTTACTGATGTTTTCTTATATCTCCTCGTCTTCGGGATAGCTCCCTTGGCTGCGCAATCCTCTTCACTCTTTATTTCCTTCTGCTGCTCTTCTAATGCCATTACTGCTATATCGAAGTTTGCTTTAAGACGGAGTAGCTCGTCTCCTGACGAGAACAG